CTCTCTCTCTCTCTCTCTCTCTCTCTCTCTCTCTCTCTCTCTCTCTGTATGTTTCTTCTACATCTTTGTCAAATAAAAATTGATCAAATGCATAAAAAATACGAAAGAAAAACCGATATCCGTTGTAGTTTTCTTTTCAATTCTGTTTACTATTCGGGGGAATTCTTTTAAAAATCAACCAAACTGGCATAAAAAGTGATACATATTCAAGTCACAGCGTTTCGATTTTTAAAAGAATTCCCCCGCGTTAATTGCCACTGGCGACCAATAAGCCTCACTCAATTTGGACTGTTTATTATATTTTCATGCGAATAGTTTTGCCCGAACAAGACGCGACTGAAACGGAGTTCGTGGTACCATTATCGAATTCGGCGTATGCTAAGCATAATCGATCGCCGTGCTCCACATACATACATACGCACGAGCGCGTATCACGCACGACGAACGCACGCACGCAGAAATATGCGAGCGTAAAAAAAAGACCAAGGGAACCGTCCGTGTGAGCCAACGTACGATCGGCACGTTTATCCTAATTAATTACTGCAGTTACCGCTCATGTTACAGGCTGCGAGTTGATAGCGCTTATCGTGGAGGGAGAAATAAAAGATCGGTCGATCGAGCCGTGACGCGACTCGACATTGCTGGAATTGATAATATACACACGCGACGTAACATTCCGATCGCCGCTGTAGTCAATTGCCGGGCAATAGATCGGTGAGGAGTCGAGATAGCTGGCGCTGAAAATTGGATGTTACGATACAGAAGCGACGTCCTATCGACGTATCCTAGCAGGAAACGTGCTTCCCGCGGGAAATAACACACTAGTGAGCTTTTACTTATCTTTTATCTCACTTTCCTGAGGTCCGCCTAATAAATCGCGGGATATTCTTAGCATAATAAAATAATAATGTACATGTATTTTTGGAGCATGAATGCAGATAAGATCATTGTGCAGAGATATATGAATTGTCTAGAAAAAGAGGCGCAATAAAGTTGAGGAAAGTCCTTTATTACGAGACAGGATTCCGGTGTGACAGGTTTTCAACGTCCAAATTCAGTGACAAATCTTTTCTCGCAACGATCACACGATCTAACAATCAACGGTGGAACCAACAGACGATGCCTATTAATTTAGCGGAAACTCCGCTGTCTCATATTAGGAACCTATCTCATAATACGGGACTTTCCTCTATAATAAAAAAAAAGAAATACGAAACGATGCCTACTAATTTAGCGGAAACTTCGCTATCTCATATTAGGAACCTATCGCATAATACGGGACTTTCCTCTATAATAAAAAAAAATACGAAACTTTACTACGTAATTGAAAATCGCATTTCGTTTATTTAAGGGTCCTGACTTTCAATACAATTTTGCTGAAGTAATAAATCGCCGAGAGCTCATTGCTTTGGCCATTTCTTTTCCGTCTCAAGGGAGCCTATTAACGCATAGCGCTTGCGAGAGATCAGATTTCGCGACGCTTGTGAAAACTAATAAGATACGACGGATGCACGAACTTGTCTCGAATTAACAGCTTATTACATCGTAAGCTAATTGTCAGTATTCGCAGCACGCTCGTGGTACTTTATATTTTTTTCTAACGTATTGAATATACAGCAATACAATTCGTCTAATTTGTAATATACATCGTAAAATTATGCGCGAAACAAAACGATGCAATCGGGTTTCACCAACGTCGCTTAACTCTAAGCTTTATTCGTTCTTTGTCTCTTACCAGCTAAAGTACACTGAAAAGAGACAAACGTGAATTAAATTAACAATAAGATTAAAGTTAAGCGCCCGGCAAGACCGGGGTCTAAGTGAGTGATTGAATGATTTTGACGAAATTCTCCGAGTATAATTTAATCAACGATTAACTCGCCAAGGGAGTAATATCTGTATTTTGCTTCGACTTATTAATTTTTCGTTTGATATGAGATAAAAGAGTTAGACAAATTGTAAGACTGACGAGTTGCACGGAAGATCGTGGGAAATTTTGCTTCGGGTTACTGCAGATTGAATAGATTGTCGATTATTTCTCCCAATGCAGATTAACTTTCATCTCGATTTAACTTACTCTAATTCTCAAAACTTAAGAGAGATAAACAGCCAAGCTTTGTAAGATTAAAAAGTTAGTCTATACGAATCGTCCGCAGTTTGATCGAAGTCGCCCTTAGCAATAAATCAGACTGCCAAGAAAAAGCGCCAAATTTTCGATCACGCTGCGTAAAACGAATTTTCAGCCTCGGTGAAAAGCTGCTATTGTTCCACTATGGTAAAGAAATATTTTTTTACAAAATGAGAAAATAATATCGAGGCAATTTAATACAGGTTAAACAAATCGTGATGGTGCGTTTCTCCGTGCTCCAGAAGACCAGATAATGACAATTATTGATTATTCGTACATCCCTTGTAAAAAAAAAATAAAACCGTGCCGTTGCGCAACCAAGAGTAATCTTCGATTACACGCGCGGGGTGTCGTCAATCATTCCCCCATGTATATGACCCGATAAAAGTCTAAAGAGTCTATAAACGCATGGATCGAGGCGTTAACGACCCTATGTGTACATACATAGACGCGCGCCACTCCCGCGACAAAGTTACATTCGATTGTTTCGCCGGACGGTTACATTACGCTCTTACCGTAAATGGACCCCGCGTGAAGATAAATCAGCAGCAACGCTACCGCGAGACGTGACATTCTGATGCTGTTTCGCACGAATTTGCGCTCGGTGACTGTGACGACGAGTTGCACGAGTACAACGACGAATCTCACGCAACTACCTGCCGACTGCACCACTGCACCTTACGACACTGCACGGCCAGCCCGACGCGAATTGCGAATTGTGAAATGGCTGACTAGAGAAGTGGTTTTAGGGCGCGTTTCCACTGAGCGCGTCACGCGACGCCGCCAATAGACACTTGACCACAGTTCAACGTATTTTTAAATAACTCCTATATGTAATCGTTTGCATTTTGTATGGAGACATTTGAAGTGCAATTGAAAATGTACATACATAAACGCGTCACGCTCTATAATCCAATGAGCGTATAGCTTTTATGGAATAGCCTTAGGCTGGATTCACATGGAGCGTAACTTGCGTAAGCGTAACCTGCGTATCACCAATCACAGAACTATTTCAACGGAATTATTGAAACGGTTCTATCAGAATGACCCTGTGATTGGTGATACGCAGGTTACGCTACGCAATTTACGCTCCATGTGAAAGCACCCTTACAACAGAGAGAAACCTGCAACCTATCACACAATGCCAGGCAACAGGCAACAGGAACAGGGAATAGAATTTCTGCCGCGTTGGATTGGCTGGAAGAAAATTTCCGACGAATCCAACGCGTCAAAAATTATATTCCCTATTCTTATTGCCTGTTGCCAGGCATTGTGTGATAGGCTTAACAGCCTGAAAAGACGGAAAATACCAACTAGCAGTCCATGATTATACATACAGTCAAAAGTGGTCTGTTCGCTCATATAACGAAAATTCAATAATTCTGGATTTATCGACATTTCATGCACATAGCACGGAACACAACCAAAACCTGTCCATTTGCGTTATCCGCTTGGTCCAAATGTGGACATTGGCTACGTAGTTCATGTCCACGTTTTCAATGTCCACAATGTCCACGTATCGTATTTGAGGATCACGTAAAACCGGGCCGTGACAGCTCTCAGGCTTCTCTCTGGTTCTAGCATTGTGGACACAGACCTTAACAATATCTTTGGCTGCTTAAAAGATGAATTATAGATTGAACGATAAATATAATTACAAATTAAACAATAAAAATATATAAATTACAAATAAGCACCCTATAAATCAATTTCTACGGATGTAAACTTGACGGCTGAACATTCCCAGATGTAAGTTCGTCTAGTTATGTCGCTGACGTCGCAAATGGCGCCAAAATTAAAAATAGAGCCGAGCTCTCGCGATTACGAAATTGAAGAAAGTATTGCTCTTTTAAGGTCTGTCTCATCAACGTCGTTTAACTTTAATTTTGGCGCAACTCATCCCTTATCTTTTTCTAATTGTCCCCTTAGAAAGACGTAAAGGATAGGCTAAGCTAAAATTAAAAAGAAACGTCGGTGAAACCGGATCTAAAACAAATTAAACTTTAAATGTATAGTATAACAAAATCTTTGTAACAATTTATTATAAGGTTATTTGTTAATTTTGATATGTGTAAAAACGTTCATTGTATCATTTTTTGTTCACATTTTATATTTGATCATAAATTATTGATCCATTCCTGTAAAATTAATAATGTAACAAATACCAAGACATACAATAACCATACCAACAACAGTAGCCTCATAATCTAAAAAGTGATGGAACGATAAGTGTATAAAATAATAAATGCATACATAAATGCATATAAAACTATAAAAAAAGAATATCACGATACAGAACTAATGATATTGTAAGCCCACGTACAAAAGTATAAAATGATATTCAGCAAAAATAATGCATTGTGTAAATAATTAACTGAAATATCAATGTTTCGAATCTTCGTTGATGACATCAGCTACGATACGACCCATGACCACATCATCATTCAATACAAACGAATGCTGAAGACCACGCTGACATAAATGGGCATTCAGATCAGGATACTTTGACTTTATGTTTCTAAAATACTTCACTGGGGCCCAACCGTCACTGGCACCGTAATACAACCAAAGTTTATCAGTATGTTTCGATATAGTCTCATGATCAGCTTCTCTGACATATATACTCTCTTCCCTGCCAAGATTAATTATTCTACGCAAGACCGATGGATTCAGCATTTTTCGAACCGCTTCAACGGATTTGGCTGGAATACCCCAAAATAGACCGAAAAGACGTATCATAAATGTTTGTAGAGTTACTGGAAACATCGACGTGAAGATCCAAGACAGGAAAATAATAACTGGTGCTGCACGTGACACCTGAAAAGAAAAATCTAATATTAGAATCGTGGAAAATAATTATCATAATGTTTCATAGATATGAAATGTCACATGCAAAAACGTACAAAATTGTTAAAGAACATTCCATTAGGGGTCTCCGCCATGTACTCTATCGTAGGGAACAACAGATAGCATCTCCGTATCCTTTTTTCAATGTCGTCGTTCTTGAGCAAATTCAGTACAAACCAGGCACCTATGGAATGTCCAATGATATGGAGATGCGCATCCTCTGGAATGTATCTTCGTATGAACTCAATCTGCCAACATAAAATCATAGCCGTGCCACGTTACTACGAGAGATCGGGAGATTAATAAACAGACTTCTTCAATTTCCAAGACCGCGAATACCTTGTGTTGAATCTGCGCCGTCAGACCGTAGCACTCTGCCCACTTGTCGTCGCCGGGCATGGCGATGGCCAGGTTCTCTGGTGGTTGTGCGTGTCCACCGTGCCCGATGATCCACACGGGCGTGTCCGACGTTAATCTCGAATTGAGCTCCTGGATGAAGCCCTCGTAAAATTGCGGGATACCTGGATTCCCGGGAATGATGAGGACTACCTTCTTGCTGGAATGCGGCAGCGGGTCCTCCTCTATCCAACGACCCTGCGAGATCACCTCGGTCTGCACCTGGTTGCACGTAATCGTAGCTCGACGCATCTTTCTTCTCGAACGACACCAAGTTGCTTCGCGTTTCGTATCGGCTTGCTCGAATCGACAAACGCTGGCCTTTCGCGGTATCGTCCGACGTGTCACACACAACAACAGACAAAACCAGGTCTTATCATGGTTCAATCACGAATGCGGAACGTGAACTGTATAATATGGTATAATACACGATTACGTGGAGCATGTGACATACCTAACTAGAATGGAACAAGACGCTCATCCACGTGAGCCGAAATAGCTCAGTTGGGAGAGCGTTAGACTGAAGATCTAAATGTCCCCGGTTCAATCCCGGGTTTCGGCAGAATGTTTTTTTTCCCCTTAATTCTATATCCTTAATCTGCTGAATCAGGAAGTAAAGCCGATATGATTTTGTCGGTCAATTTTAATTTTTTTTTGTAATTTACGAGACCCTAAAAATTTGCCGCGTCCATCGTCGCGTTTCTACTTTTGCTAATAAATGAACACGATTACTTACATACTGCATATACAACCATTTTGTAGTCTAACGCGATAATTTCATTGTTGCGCATTCGATTTATTGAATTAATTTTGACAATGGTCTAGGGCCGGTATTCATAGTCGGATCTAATATTCAAGACTGTCTTAGGGTCATCTTTAGATACTCCGTAGCCAATAAAATGTTCCGTACTGCAACTTTAGATAAATTCAAGACTGTCTCGAATAATAAGATCCGACTATGAATACCGGCCTAGGTACGTATGTTATTTAATGTTGTCCCAAGAATGTTTTCTTATATCGATAACTTTTTCCATGAAATTTTGAAATACAGCAACAGAGGACTCTGCCGGTGTGACGCTCTTGAAATCGCACTCGAGAGCTAATTTTTTAAATCTTACTCGAACTAAAATTACAGGTGCACATAAATGATTGAGGTTAGGTAACCTCAATCATTTATAAAGCGATAGTTTGAATTTCTCCTCGTCTTTTTTATACAAAGTTGACTGTCCCTGGTTTTGTCTTTATGCGTACTTTAATCGTGTGGAAGAATTTTGCAATTTTATAAAGCCAATTTCAAATTTAGTTATAACTACAAATTGAAAATTTCAAATACCAATATCTTTTTTATTAGACTTCTGAACTGAGTGTATGAAAATGTTCTGCTGTGCGGTCCGCAACTTATCCTGGTATGTATTTTGTGCATAAAAGCTAATAAAAAGAATTACAAGCGCACAAACTATATTTGACTGTGTCGGTAAAAAAGATGGCTGAAGGATCCTCTTAATAAAAAAAATATTTCTCGATGCATTAATATTAATATTGTCGTCGATTCATTGAAACATTAAGATCCAAAATGATGAATTGCGCTTACAGTCCGAAAAACACCAGGACACCTAAAATTGGAACGTCCGAGGAGTCTCAAAATTTAAGAAATTGCAGACTCAAGGTTGTTCAATAATTTGACAGCTGAAAATTCTTGATAAATAAAGATCTCAACGTCGTGAAATCTTAATTTTCTTAGCTACGTATTAGAACGGACCTCGGATATTAATCCGAGAGTCGAAACACGACGAAGATCTAGAGACGTAGTCAAGAGCGGATGTTTCGGTCGGATGTTCGCATTATAACGAACGCCACCGATCGCTTCCCAGACCGGACACGGGCATCGCGACCGGCACCGCCGATCTCTCGCCTGCCGTTTCCGGTTGCGCGGAAAACGGTGAGGAACAGAACTCGGGAATAGCCGGCGCCGTGGCGCGGCCAGCCGTCGCGACCGCGTCCCGTAGCCGTGCTTTCCATCGGAAAAGTATGGCGGCGGTAATTCGAACGCGCGTCATACAGTCCCGCGAGTGGAGGCGCACGCGTCATGGCGTTTGATCGCGCGCTCGCGGGGCGGGGCGTCCGGCACTCTCGTGTGCGTGTGGACGTGCACGCGAAAAGCGCACGGGTCGGCCTCGTTGGCGTGGCGCGCGAAATGTACGAGGAGGGGTGGGAGGAGGGGGGAGTCGCCGACGGGAGGAACCGCCCCCCGTTTGCGGGAAGGCGCCATGCTGACGCGCACGCGACATCCGCGTAATCGGATGATCGCTTCTCCGCGTCGTTTCTTACGCGCGGTAACCCCCGACAGCCTTCGGGGGGGTCTCGTTACTCTCGTTGCGCGACAATGGACGGTACATAGACCTGTCCGCGGCCGCCAGAAACGTTGTCTCGTCTGGGGATAAGAATCGACGGATGCGACGGATGTGATAAATCGTGGGATCAGATCCGCGTCTGGTCAGGTCGGGTTAGATTAGATCAGGTTGGACCGTCTTGCCGCGCCAGGATACAAATTTCTAAAACGACTGTCGTCGTTCGCGCCGTCGTTACCGACGCGTCTTGCGGATGGTGATTCGAGAAGGTGCTTAACGATATCTTGCTTACGCCGTGCAAGATCCTCACATAATGGCTGTAAAGATAAAGTCGCGGTGCAAAACCGCAAAATCAAAGCTCGCACTGAGCGGTACTGTTCCGCGCAGTCGACAGAAAATGTTCTATGTATACGATAAGAATAAATCTACGCAAACTAAGTTTTCGATGAATTATCAAACGTTCCCTTTAAATATTTTAAACCATTATAGGGCCGGTTTTTCCAACCTCTTGGTAAACTAACTAACAGTCAAATTAAAATGTCTATTTTCGTCTAATTTAAAGGAGACACAAAGGCGTTTATATGATTTAACTATTAGTTCACTTACCGAGAGATTGCAACAACTGGCCCATAATAATATTTTACATTGCTACATATTTTAATTTAGTTTACAATTATTTGATTAATTTAATGGAACGCAATAGTGTCTTCTAATTTAGATTCATTCTTATTATTATTGTATTATATTTTTATATAATGTATATTTTTCGCAATAAATTTTCTGCATTAACCGATTAATTAACAAACGTGGCCAGCTTTGGTCGAATGAAATTTGGAATGTTATTATTATACTGGCAATTTGAAGAAACTAATCTTAGATTTATTCATTACACGTTGGCCCCGGCCAACAGATTGCTTAAAGTAGAAACACAAAAAACCGACTGCAATATATTTTAATAAAGGAAACACAAAGAATATTTATACAATTATTTAGGCAGATTAATTGGGCATTCCTTTAGATACGAAAATGCTTTGATTCTCAACGCAAAATCACAAAAATCGAAATATTCGATATTGCCTGTCACTCTATTGTCCCGTGGATGGCTACCCTAACAAGGAATAGAATATAAAATGTCAAGTTGACGCACGCATGTATTTTAATCAAGTGCCTTCCACGAGCTTATTTTGTAAACGCGTCTGTAGAAACGTGGAAAAAGTGCAAGAGATTCGATCGATGAGCGATTACGTGTAAAATAAAATGTATCGTCACAAGGCGATAACGAGTAACGGCATGAATCATCGTGGACATGTGCCGCATTTTGGATGCGTAATCGTATTTATGAATGGAAAGAGCTTCTCTCCCCAACGAGATATCGCATTTTCTTCATTGACTCGGCTCACATAAGAGAACGCATTCGGTTGCCTGGTAATTCAGTTAATCATCCCTAGCATTGTCACAGGACTCGATTATCTATCGATCGAAAAGTTCGGGAAGAATACGCTTATTTCCCAACTGATCGTGGAAGCTGAAAGTTTCTACAAAAACGTTGCAATTATCAGCAGATCTGCCGACTGCCCGCTCTCGTTGCCGGCGAGAGATTTTCGTACAATTAATTACGCCAATGAAATTTCAATCTGACATCGCCGTAGGTCGCAATCGAAGACGGCACAGCAGGTCGAGTCTGCGGAAAGAGGAGGCGCCGACCTTCGGGGATGGAGGCGTGCTCGCCGCCGATGGGCGTTGCTTCGCGGACGAGGCGGTGCGCGTTTACCCCATTCTGGGCAAACCTGCGGCGGGGCCACGGCCGTCCAAGCCCATAGTCCGCAGTCACAATTCGGTCGTTCAGCGGTGCGGACGTCACACCGCTTTGCGTCGCGTTTAAATTTCGATCACCGGAAGTGCGATTCGGCACCTCCGGCTGAACATTCGAGCCGGTACATCCCGTTTTCCCGGGTACTCGCCGAACGCGCTGGTTCCCGGCGATCGGCGAACGCCCGAGATCCAACCCTGGGCGCTTGGACCGCGCCTGCCGAGGAAACTGTCGTTCGTTCGCTCCGATAATCACCGGAGCGGGGTGAAATTGTGGTTACGACACTGTGACACTATCCGCGGGTGTGCGTTGCTCCTTGAGAGAACAGTTTTTCCCGAAAGGAGCCGCTCGGCGAAGCGCAACTTTAAGCTACGCCCGGCCGGCGCGGCGCCTGTATTAAAGGGAGATATGCCCGAAGCAGCGACGGCAATCGACTGACAGCCGCTCCGCGGAACTGGAGCCGCTTCGGAGCGGACTGGTGACCTATGTTCGAGTGATAATCTAATATCGTCGTCCGGTGACGAGATGCAAAGTCGCCAGGACGAATCCATGTAGATCGTCGCGTGAGAAGCGGACTCTCGGGCGGGTGGCTGGTGCGAAATGTAGCTTGCGAGACATCCTCCGCGCTTCCGCGAACGGAAGACGGCGATCGGTTTGTTGATTCTCTCCTATATTGAGGAGGATCGACCCAAACACGCTGGTCTCTCGTCCTCGCGTTCGTTCACTGAGTACCGGGGCCCCCGGTGCGATACCCAGGGCTCGGCAGGCTTCTACCGGCGCTAGAACAGAAACGTCGGGAAAAACGTCCGCGACGCTTCCGTGATGTGCCTGTGAATTGGATACTGGGAAAAAGGACTCCTCTTCCCGTCGCATCAGGATGACGAAACGCTGTCTGCCGGACGCGTTCGACTAGTCGTCACAGTGGAGTTCTGCTTAATCGCAGGTAATTTCCGACGGCGCTCGCACGCCTGGGCTTCTGCGTGACGGATGCTCATCTGAATCCCAGTCTGCGTTCGAGACAGTTCCCTAATTGAGCATTTTTCGAAATATTCGCATGCTCACGTCGTCCGCGCAGATTGTGAACTGGAGGATGTAGGCTGGTATAATTAGTTGCTCGTCACTGAACAATGGCATGTACTGAATGCGATAACTGCGTAGCTTTCATCAGTCTTCAGCTCCGGGCTTTTCTGAACAATATTCCCTGCGTCTTACGGGAGCTATTATTATTACGAACTTTCAAGGGAAAATAGCTTGGGAAATTGTCGAGCGAATTGTTACGTACGAAGGAAAACCTGCGGTTAGGATCACTTTTTTTTTCTGTCGGATCTGATGTGCGTAATTATGCGTTTCGCTACAATTCTTTTCGTTTTCGGGATTCCCCCCTGTACAACTAGGACGATTAAAAGAGATTATACGCCTCTCGGTACGCGAAGACAAGCGTAAATGTACTTTCTCCGTCGTCGACAACGATCGATAGCAACCGCTACTTCACACTTAGTAGATATTGCTCCTTTGTCTCGAGAGTGGCAAGACGCAACTTTGGAAATTTCACCATTTTAGTACATTGCTTATTAAAGCGTTCGAATTCTGTCGAAAGTTCCGTAATATTTCAAAGCTGTGCCGATTCAAAAATAAATTCACAAGGATTGATCTGGATCGCTGCTCGTCCTCTTATTCCACTCCTGGTAAATGTAATTTTACATCCACTTGGTGATGTCGACAATTCGCGGATCGTCGAAGTTCCGCTGGCCCGCGAGTATCAACGAAACGAGCTCTGTCCAACAGCTGCGCGAAACAATTTATTTAGACCCGGCCTAGTGAGCGCGATGTCGCAAAGAAGCGAGTCAGCCAAGTCTCCCAGTCGTTTCTCGCTTAGATTTTACAATGGACCGAATGTTTCGAGTACCGATAAGATTCCTAATTCATTCTGAATGTGTATCTCCCGTGACTCTTGAACATTCAGAAAATAGCTCTTGCGGGAAAGGGCAATTGTCATGGAGGACATGGAGGGTCTTTTAAAGATTTTAAACGTCACGAAACACCATGGAGCTAGGTGGCGTGTAAGAATAGTAAAGGACAAGCTTAGAGCGAAAGAGAGAGAGAGAGATGAGTAGCCGAGATAGATTTATCCTGTCCGGGAGCCCAAGTCCCTCGGGGACGGTCAAAGAGCAGACGCAGTAATATAACTCGCGAGTTAACGCGTCTGCAAAAGATTTTCAGAAGTGAGAGTTGTGAAATTTGACGCACAAGACAGCGCGCGAATTCTCGGGGCGAAGTTGATAAAATAATCTGAGCTACTACGAAGAGTGGATTACGTAAGCGGGAAACGAGCCGACATTTGAATGAGATCGGCACCGATAACGGTATCATCTACAGGCGAGGGAGAACATTTGCGGAATGTTGTTGCACGGCACTGACTTAGCCGTAAACAATGCAGCTGTGCTAATAATCAGTTATGCTAATGTTCCGGTATCATTCGTCTTTATCGCACGTTGAGCATATAATCTAATTGAAAAATTTACACTTGCCGAATGAGTATTTGGATTGCTCTTTTCATAATCAAATATTCGATCGTGGCCTAATCTACAACCGTAAATATAATATTCAATCGACGCAATTCAATAAAATTGTAACGAGATAAAATAAGTACATCGTAAAGACCGAGTCGTCGCGATCTCGTTGTAATTTGCGCGTATGAATTTTCATATACGATTATTGTCGAGGGGGAAAACCGCTGACCAAAATCTTGTACACCAATGCCCACTAATGCCCAGTGGGCATTGCTTTATCTTATTATCTTGTTTTATCTTATTTATCTCGTTTTATCTTATTTTATCTTTATAATGCCCCAGCAAGGCTTAATGCCCAAAAAATGCCCAGTAATGCCGCAAATATGTACACCACAATGCCCTCAGCGGTTCACCCCTCGGTTATTGTAGAGCGGCGAGTGACAAGAATCGAAATTAAACAAAGCGACAAACGTCACGAGGTGCCTGTGCGTCGCGTAAGAAAATCGGGAAAAGAGAGATGTAAGAGAAAAGGGCTCGGCTTGTGGCAGTCCGTTTGCCTGATCGAGGGTAAAAATGCCATGTGTCGTGAAAAATTTTGCAGCACGAGAAATAAAAGCGTATTCAAGCGGGCAGGGTTCGGGAGCGAAAACAGTAGCACGTGACTGCGCGAGTGAAAGAAACGGAGTGAAACAAACGGAAAAGAGACGTCACTCAGTCGCAGCAACGTTCTCCTTCATCTTTACAAACCCATTTCTATTCTTCCGATCTGACGTGAATTTATTTACGAAGACTTCCCTCTATATCGGACTACGTAAATCTGACGGATGGGAATACGGGCTGGTGCCTTGAGCAACGGCAGGGCGGGATGAGGGCGAGGAATGTTGGACAGGGGCGGGTAATGTGGGACACCGTCATTTTCGTCCATCTGGTGGTGCAATTTCGCGGGACACCGAAGACCACCTTCGTCTGCGTCTAAAAGATTGCTTCAGTAGGCTATACTTTGACCTGAACCTAATTCCAGCCTTGTACTGTGTCTTTTTAGGAATCTAATCGATACCCGACGCTTCATTTTTACTCGCATCAGATAGAGCGCCCATTCTCAATGCATGCATTAACACTACGTGGAAGAGCGACTTTCTATTTATACAACAAAATGCAAATTGATTGCCGATTAACAAAGTAATTCTTGCCTCTCTTCTACAACGCTCGACGATATGATTCACGGGTCGTGTCGTGTTTTGCAAAAACGCATGCGTACCGACGGCAAACAGCGAGACGAACTTCCGCAACTTCGGGAGTGACTTTCTTTAAAAGGAATACTTGTCTCGCACAGTTGTCCCGATGGAAGCATAAATCTTAACCAGAGAACAATCGGGCTTTACGACATAATGTATAAAATATTCTCCATTGATATATAAATAACATAAAACTGAAAAATGTTCTAATCTTTGTAGAAAATATAAAAATATTGTAAAAGAAAGTTAATCTCTTTAATTACATCTCATATTTTTTTCTTTTCATCTTTGCGCTCTCGCTTAGATGAACAACATTGATTGTAATTTTCATGATAGCTGTCATATAAAACATTTTTACACGGAACAATTAATTATTGTCAATAATAAACATTCGGAAAATCGACGTCTCTTTTATATGGAACTATTGTTAGTAAATGCATTAGAAACGGGAGATAAATGAGCTACTGTTTCCTTCGGTGTCAAGGATATTTTAACGAGATGATTCGCTCTCTTTAGTCAAATGCAAAACACAATTTATCGGCGAGTTCGAGTGAAATAACGTTTCGTCTTAAACCACCGACATACAAATCGCTCCGCTCGATCATTTCCGACATGATCTTATTGCGTAGTATCAATAATTTACTAATCATAGATAGCGTTCGCGTAGACGAAGAAATGTTTAACATGTATCGGCCTTCATATTTGCATGATTACATTTAATACGACTTTAATGTCGAACCGATAAATTTCTGAACTGTGGTCGGTCGCATCTAGCGTTTGTTTTCATGCGGTGACATTAGTGCGTCAAGTCGCAAACCTCAGAGATCTCATATCAAACCAGATATCTCATAAATAAATGTTAATAAAGCACTGGAGGGATACAAGAGAATCTATATGTTTTACACCTCTTAATGAGTGATTACGCAAGCATTTAGCATTGGTAGTTGCAGCAGGGGAGACGGAAAGCCGCAGGAATTCGGCCAAGTAAAGATGTTACGGGGATTTAAATTCCACCAGTCACTCTCTGAAGACTTAAAGGCCCGGCTTTCATTTTCTGGTTACCATTTGACCAAAAAATGTAAAACCGGGCCTAATTGTAACTGACGTATTTTATCAGTCGGACGAATATCATTGAGCGCGTTCTTGCATAATGCACGTCATTGCGCAAAACTCGTATATCAGTCGCGTAAACGATAAAAATGATAAAATTCGGATGCGATAAAAAGGAGCGATAAGAATTGAAAAATCTACAAATTTACGGAGAAAACTGCAACAATAAAGGAAAATTGGGTCTGATAAAAGTATCTTTTCTTACGCGTTCACACAGCCGTAGGATACATTGTCATGCATTTATCGCACGCGCGTTATCGATAAGTATACAGCTGTGATTAGATCATTACATTATCTATCCCAACTTCGTTTGGACGACAACGCTGCGCTTAACGTATATAAGCACAACCGATACATGGGCACCGTGTACACAAGATTTTTCTCAATTGGATTTATTCAGGAAAAAGTTCTAGTATTTCGAAGACGTGAATGCACACGGGCGAAGTTCAATAAAACGTAAATAAGCAACGTAATTTTATCTCAGGTTTTATCAATTTATAGCACGCCTGAGAATATTATATTTACCGAGGATATTTATATTTATATTTTAATGAACTCTAATTAATCGCCGATACGTGTATGCATTTATCAATAACGTGCAAAGTAAGACGCCCGTTCACCTACAAAGGTCGCTTTAAATCGCTCCGTAGTACTTTTTCTATAACACATAGAAGGCTACGAAGAAGCGAGGAAAATGTGGGAAACCGGTTTGTCGCTTTAAGACAACATTATGCGGTAGTGAGCCCGACAAAGTTCTTAGACCAGGTACTTTTGGCGAACTGTGGGAAATAAATCGTTTTCGCGTTACTTCAAGGTTCCCTGAAACCATAGAGTTTCTGTGCATAACAAATTCCCTAAAGAAAACAAAAAGTTTGAGAGAAAAATTTTTAAGCGGACTGTTGCAAAAGATACCATTTTCAGAAAATCAACGCAGAACTTTCGCGATTACATGTTGCAAGTTGCGAATAGCTGCAATGTCGATTTAAAAAAAGCACGAAACGTATTACTGCATCAGAATCAATTTCAGACGCCGTTGCAGTCTCATATAATACTTGGAAAGTAAGGAAAGTAAAAAAAAACACCAGAAA